AGCAAGGCTAAATGTGCCACCTGTCTGGAGCCTTGAGAGAGCATCAGGGAGGAGGGGCTGACATGTAGGTTTCAGGAAGGTCACCAGACCCCCCCACCCCCCACTCCAGAGCTCACCCAAACAGCAGAGTTCATTAATCTGCACTTGCCTTGGATAATCGCTCTCAACTTTAACACCTTTAATTGAAGCCTTCAGGGAGCCACATTCCTGATATGTGGAAAACAAAAAAGGATATTTCAAGATCAGCCCCGTCTGGGGGGGTGGAAATCATATGCAGAGAAGCTGAAGTGCAAACAGGCGCTGTTTGAACAGCCCCAATGACAAAAGGAAAGCCGGCATGATAAACCTGGCATAGGGATGAGAAACTAACGCTCGTCATTGTCATTCAACGGCTGCCGCTGGCCGCCACGCTGCTCTCTCTTCGCCACCCACGATGGCCTAATATTTGTCTGTCCTCTACCCCTGTCAACATTTAAAAACTTTTACACATGTCTGATGACTCTTTTGTTATACATGGCATTATTTAAGTGTCTAGCTGGTGTCATAACTCAAAGCCTGCTCCCTGCTTTATGTTTATTTACAGATGTTCTTATCGGGGCTTAGGTGAGGCAGCTGAAGACCTTCTGGGCCCTGAACCATAAACCCCACTGTCCATTTACTGCTACGCCTCCTGAAGAACAAGCGCTAAACACCTACTACCACAGCGCAGTGTAATGTTGACATGAGGTACATGTACACACAGTGAAAGACAATGCAACGTATGCTGCTCTCTAATGGGTCCCTCTACTGGTTCTCCTAACCTTGGTTAGACCCAACAACAAGACCGATCCCGATGATACTATACGAGGCTAGAAAGACAGAGCCAGTGAAGAACTAGCATGGACCTCACAAGTAAAGGTGAGCCTGTCAAACGAGTGGACAGGGAGAGTTTCCAAGCATAGCGAGATAGTCAGAAATATGAGTAGCGTAGACTTTAATTTGCCACTTGTCAAAAACCTCTCCCCTCTACCTCTCTATCTGTATCTAGATTATGACATTTCTGTGTGTGGAGTGAAAAATCATTTGCAGGAGCGGAAGAGATTGGGTGGTCATTACGATTCTCTGGCTGTCTATCTGCCGGCCTCTCCCTATTTTCCATTGAGACATAAGGGTGCCATTATTCCGCTTCTTGGTAGTAATGTGACTCCTAAGCATCCACACCTTCCACATCCTGTTTCGGCAAAATCCCCTGAATTGTGAATGTTTTATTGCACCTCCCCACATGCCTGCAGCTTCTCCCGAGGAAACAAAGCGGATGCAATGTCCAGCTAATCGTTCCAGAATGCCAGTGGTCTAGTTTTGGCCCACAGCTAGTACAGCTTTGAAAAACAGGCTCTGATAAAAATGCATCTTCTAAATTTGTCTCTGCTATTAAAAATCATCAGTGAATCCCTGTTAATCATCTCATCTTGTCTGGGGGTGGGGTGACAGGGCGGGGGGGGTGGGGGGCTGGGGTTGGAGAAGTGCCGGAAGGAGGCTAAGTTTAGCCATCACGGTTGTGAGAGCCGCCGACCGACTTGGAAGCTTAAGACAAGTGT